AATTGTATGCATGCTTATTTAAAGAAAAGGCTCTATACTATACTTCTCAGAACCATCTCAGCCAGAGTCAGCTCAGGACAACTTCAAAAGTTCTGCAGAGGGCGACAATTGTCACTTCGTAGGACATCGCCATGTTAAAAAAAAGACAATTGAAAGCATTGATTTGGGATAGATGAAGAGCCAGTACCGTCCCTTTTCAGGCTAGCTCAGCGCAAGTTCTGAACCAGTTTGATTTGCTGCAGAGGAGCTAGTTCTGCCCAGAGCTGGGCGATAAGGATTACGATTACTTTACCTTAAACTATGTTCACATATCAATATTATCACAATCAAAGCTCGTTTTTTAATCACCCCGTTTACACAGGCAAATCTCAGATTATTAGCCGACAAATTTGTTGTGCTTGTTATTCTCACATCTCAAGGAAAAGTTATGTTTCTTCTCTGTGGCACCGTGATCACGTTTTTATGCTATAATAGGCAATATAAATATATTTTAAGTTAACATTTTATTAAAAATACCTTTACAAACCTCTTTTCCTTGCTAGCGTACATTTTTGTTTACTTTTACATTTGGCATTTCACCTCTTTTTTGCAAAAACAATCGATAAAACTAGGATGGACACCGAAAAGTAATCGGTTTAATCTGGGATTATTTTATAATTACAGATTAACTAGGGACGAATTTTATATGGCTAATATCTTGTTATAATTACAGATTAGGGTGTTAAGCTCGAAAATGAGGATAATCTACTTATATGTGAACCTAGTATTAGTTCTGCCGCAATTTAATGCAGGGTATGTATATAGATCAAAGATGGGCATTTTTTGATTTTCCAAACACATGTAAAAATGCTACCTTCTGCGACGTAGAACATGTACATATACATACATAGGTACTATCATCGTTTTTATGCATCTTACGATAATTGACGATTGACTGATGCTTTCCTGGTGCTTCGGCAAAGCCAATCAAATCAGATGCTGTTGACAGTGTTCGGACGAAAAATTTTTTTAAGTGAAACTTAATTAAGTTCGGAGATGTTTGCGTTAAATCAAGGCTCATGAAACAGGTAATAGTAATAGAGCAAAAACAATATTTACGTGTTTCTTGCTGTTGCATCTGTAGTGCGATTCACAAACTTTTAACGATGCGACTTTTCGAGTTGTAAGATAACAATTTTTGTTGTTTGCAGTAACGATTGTGCGATTCACTAACTGTGCTGCCGCTAATGGGCACAAAAGGCGTTGCATATGGCAGGCGCTCGTATGAGCACAAAGTTCACAAACATTTTATATGGTTTAAAATGCGCAACAGCTCCACAAAAAAAAATCTAAAAAATCAACCGTAATTTTAACGACTTAAAACTTGCACTTTATTATACTAAAATTGAATGGGCTACACAACTGCATCCCCGAAATTCTTATAAAGATTCTGAATAAAAAGTTCAAGTTAAAAGTTAATTTTAAATGAAAATTATTAAAAATACATAAATACACGCAGCAAACATTCTTCTTCTTCTTATTTTACTCGCAGCTATAAATATAAAGTTTACGAAAAACATTTAGCATGAAAAACATTGTTAATATTTAAAAAAAAATCACTGTATCCACATTTTGTACATATCCAGAAGCATGAATGTGCAAATTTATCAGTTTTGGAGTTATTGGGTTGACTTGATTAACCTTTCGATGTTCTACGTTATACCAAATCCAGAATACCATGCTTACATGGAAACTACGTATTTTACAATTTCAATTGCATAAATGTAGAGTTGTCTGTAAAAAAAAAAATCAAACTTGCTTTCCCAAAATTTTAATTTTTACATATTCATGTTTCCGGCATAAGGGCGACGGTATGTAATTTTAATTGGCATGTACATATTATCAATAATGACTTGTTATGCTAGTGTCATTATGATAAATAAAGAAATATTTAAATATGCACATATGTATGTGCATACATACTTACATTTTTAATAAACGATGTACACGTATTATATTGAAAACTTTAATTACACTGGTTTACAGCAAAAATGTTCAATGGATGCCACTATCCAATTTCTATGTAGAATTGCTCCGTGATTCCGAAAATCCAGTTAATTTTTTTTTTATGCATAAGTTTTCGAAATATTTGCAATTTACCGTTATTCAGCTTAGAAGAAAATGTGGTTCCACTTAATCACGTATATCTTCGAACCAATTTAACAATCAAATCAAAGCTAATAAAATTCTCCATAAACCATGTATACATCACTTTCCGTTTGTACTGATAGTTTCTGACAAATTAATTAATCATTTCAGTTTTTTTTTATTTTTTAATGAAAAAAAATTAAACTTTAACAGAAGAAAAATTAAAAAAATACCAGGTTCTGTACCAAATGTTTGCATGTGTGTTAAAGCCTGTTCTGTTACAAAACAAAAATCAAGTTAATAATGAAGGAAAACGAGGGAATTGATAACCGAAACACATATAGATATGTAAGTTTTAACAAACTATTTTTATATCCGAGCGCACTTGTGCACTAGAGGTTTACGCCGACAGTCTTTGCGGCGGCGGCGTGGTCAACTTCAAAAAAAATCGGCGGCGGCGGCGACGCCGGCGCGTCTGGAACCGCCGGCGCTACTGCTCATAAGGTAGATTCCAAAGAGCCATGAGGCTTCCAATCTTATCATGTCATCAGATTATAATTCTAGTTAATTCATTCATTGAATTAGTTTTGAATTTAAACTACGTTACTTCCTACTTGAATTCAAATGTTGAGTGACTGCTGCTGATGGACGGGCGAACAGAAGAAAGTCTATAAAGTATATACATTAGGTTTCCCATCGAAAATTTAAATTTTAAATTTTGACCATCGATAATTTCCACAATTTGAAAATACGTAGTACTAACGTACAAGAAAACGATTTTCGATGGGCACCCTAATATAAGTACATACATCTCTATGTACTCTACAAACCCGTATATACTATTTCAATTTAAAAAATAAAAAAATTTAAAGGTTAAGTTATTGGGGTAATTTATGTCGCTATCAATAAATTTTTGCAATAAGCTTATCAACCGTTATGTTAAATTACGGAGTTCTTACGTGTGGGTTATATATTGAAAATAAGGTTGGCCTACTTTTTTCCAAAAGTTTAACCCACGGGCCTTTTTGACCAACTGTTTAAAAAATGGCTTATAAATGGTTAAAATTTACACTAATATATTAAGCGCCAAATTTTTCTAAGGAGAACCGAATTTAATGCAGAGTCAAAGTTTGCTTTTTATTAAAATTCTATTTAAAATATTTAAAAAAAACGCACAGGAAAATCAACTAGTCTTTGTTTTATCTCCAATAATTGAGGAGCAAGATGCAATAAGGGCGCTTCTGTTAAGACTGCTTTCTGAGATATTGGCGTTAAGTTTTTGATGTGTTATAACTTTCTTGTTGTTGTAGTATTGAAAAAAAATTGTCTACTGCGGAAAAAATCGTCAGATTACCAGTATTCGACCCTAATTTAACTGTAATAAAAGCTTTCGATCGAAAAACCTACATATGTTTTTTCTGAGTTAAGCTTTTTTAGGAAATGTTCAGTGGCCCAAATTATGCAAAAAAAACTCCTTTTAAAAATGTAATTTTCATTTCGTAAAATAGTGTTTTTATACGAGTAGTATTTAGTTCATTCAAACAATGCATTTCAATGTGCATACAACACGAAACCTTTTTACAAAATTCCTTAGGGGCCGAACGCCGCCGCCGCCACCGCGCCGAAATTTTCGTAACTCGGCGGCGGCGCGTGAGAAACGACAAAAAAAACGCGGCGGTGGCGGCGTGGCTTGGCGGCGTATTCCTCTATTGTGTACAAGGGTATTATAACTTTGTTCACATAACGGTTTTTTGTAACAGGCAAAACGAATCGAGACAAATATAGGCAATTGTATACATAAACGATCAGAATGAAAAGAGAAATCGATTAAGCGATGACTGTCTGTCCGTCCGTCCGTCCGTCTGTGCACATGATAACTCGAGTAAGAATTGAGATATCTCAACGAAACTTGGTACGTGCACTTCTTTCGGGCGTAGGTATAAAATGGGCAAAATCGGACAATAACCACGCCTACCTCCCATATAACGGTAATTTTCAGAAATGCGAAAACTGCGATATTTTAGTAACTACTGAAGATTATTCACGCAAAATTGATATTTACAATAATTTTTAGACGAAAAATAAGA